TACTACTACTACTACTACTACTACTACTACTACTACTACTAAAAAACATAATAATAACATCTACAATCAAAAATTAATTCAAATAAACTACAAAAAACATGCAAAATAAAAAATTATTAATTCTAATAACAAAAGGACATACAAGATACACAGGTATTTTAACTACGGGGTCTTCTTTGTCTTCTCCACCGTTGACCTGAAACAAATAGGGTGGTAACAGATTAATAAAGAGCAATTAATATTAATTATACTAAATATTCTCACCTTAAGAAACAGTACACTGTAACGTGCCCAAGTTTGCAGAAAACTTGTTTCAATGGAATTTAAATAAATCTCCTCTTGCTCTCACTCATCTGTTGAATATTCATTGCATAATGTTGTAAGTTAAAGACGAAAACAGCAAATGAAGAATTTAATCCAGGAATGATGATACAATTACAGACATTGGTTGGTTCAGCACGGTCAGCTTTAATTTTAATTTAATTTAATGTATTTAAATGATAACCTGTTAAACAATTGAATGTTAGTTTCATCTTAAACATTATGTTTTAAAATTTTATTATAAAAAAGCCGTTAAAGAGATTAGGACGAAGACAAACAGATATCACTTGAAGAGAAAGTTATGATTGTAAGACTATTATGATAAAATGCATTGATATTTAAAAATCAGAAATAAACTACAAAATTTAAATTTCTTCGAAAGAAAAAACTATTACAAACTCAATCTTTGGCCAGATAATTAAAAATTCATTGCTTCTTTTCTTATCGTTGTTACTATACGCTAATAAAAAAAAGAGATACATTATTACTTTTCCTTTCTTTTCATCACAAACATCCAAAAAATTGAATTTTTTTGTCCGCAATTTTAATAATAAACTTCTTTCTCGGTCAGAAATCGTATAAAAAAAATAATATGTACAGAACAGAAGATAAAAATGTTCACATTAGAAAAATATACAAAAACAAAGTTAAAAACATTCATTGTACATCAACAGTGTTAAGTGTAAAAACAATTATTTTCATAAACTGTTTATGTACCACATACATTTAGATTATTTTATTAAAATCCAAACTTTTAGTTGATAATAAATTTCGACTCACACTGTAACATTTCTATCTTTAAGTAGACGACAGCGCACTCATACTTTCCCGCGAAGGTATTAATATAATTTAAAAATTATATTAAACACTGCTGATTATTGCTAGTCGTTCACATAGGCAACCCACTGTACTGCACAGTATTCTCATCGTCAGCCAGCAATAACAGATAGTTCTTTTATTAAAGTCTCCGTTTTCAAAAAGAGGGTTTAAAATACACACCAGTAAGTTTTAGCAGCATAATTTTCATTTATGTCCATCCCCGACTACTTTATTACATTTTGGTATTTTCAGTTTCAGAGAAATGAATTTATCAAGAAAAATATGTTAAATGAAATAAACTTATAAACTGTATTGTAAAGAAAACTAAATATTTGGTGTATGTATTTTATAGAGTTAGGTATATAATGAATCAGTCTAACTTGATTAAAGTATATATATGATACCATAGCTTGGGGGTGCATATCAAAATGTTCTGGAAGTCCTGAACACTGCCCAGAGAAGAATACTAAAATCATTAAATTTTTGCACTAAACTCCTCTTGCAATTCACTTAGATTAAGTTTATATAGTTTTAAAACAGTTCTACAACCACCTTTAAANGGTAATTTTTTACATTAGTTGACATTGGAATTGAGACATGCAGTTTAGTCAGGTAGGTAGTACTCACCAAGTAGAATCGTGTGGTAGCATTAATTCCGTGCGGAAACCAATGTAGCTTGAGATACAGGCTCCTAAAGTTATTTAATCGGAGGAAATTTCGATTGGTACGGCCCTGGCTGCAGCCCTTCGTCAGCTGTTCTCGCCTAATATGCATTGATGACGTCATTGTTTACTTAGGTAGATGTAAGACAGACTGGAGTTTGTTTAATGTCCCTGCCCGCCGAAGGCGGGCTGATACATTAGAATAATGTTAGGAAGATATGTTTTAGGACAAACGATGTTTGGCGGGAACAGCTGACGAAGGCTGAAGCCAGGGCCGTACCTACCGGAATTTCCTCCGATTACGAAAACTTTAAGGACCTGTATCTCACTCACATTGATTTTTAAACAAATAATAAACAAAATTCTAGTAAATACTACTACACTACTTTACTTGGTGAGTACTACCTACCTGACTAAACCTCATGTCTCAATTCCAATGTCAACTAATGTAAAAAATTACCTAACAAAATGTTAAAAAGTAAGGAATACTGAAGATTACACAAGTTTTTGTTAGAAGTTATCAACCAACAAATTTGTAACTTAAACAATATACCTTAAATTTTTTAATAAATTACCTACTTCAATTAAAATAATTACGAGGAACAAATTAACCATGAATTAAACAGCCATCATAATTCAAAACAAACATGGAGTCATACGAGTCATAGCATGTCATAGATGAAGACCATAGATAATAGATGAAGGCGTAACGCACATAAATATTTGTGAAAGGAAAACCACAAATACACCGCTATTATTACAGAAATGACAAAGGCTGTATTTCGTTTAATTTCATCATGGAATGGACTATGGTTGCAACGTGCACGTGCAATAAATTGTTAAACACAGTCGGATTGTTCATGCAATGAATTTATAAACGCGGTCGTACCATGCTGGCGACACTATTTCTTATATATAACCCGTAGACCACCCATAGACGTAACGTATGAATATAACATAACCTAACATAACCTTACTTAATTTCTAAAAAATAAAGTATTTTAAGGTATCAATTTTTAGAAATAAGTGTTAGTTTTTCCGAGTTATAACGTGTAAAAATGTCGCACAATAACCAGAGAAATCGCGTTGGTGCTGACATTGCAAAAAGAAGTTGTAGTAAAGAAGCTTTCATCCAACATGAAAAGTTAACAGAGAGTGAAGTGGGAATTACTGAATATGTTAGCACCATGGAAGGGTTTTCTGCTATACTGAAGGCAAGATACTCTGATTTTCATGTAAATGAAATAAATTTACAAGGTCAAGTTGCAAAATTAACAAGTTTAGAACCTCCTCATTTTCAAGAAGTAGTTGTCAATAAAGAAGAATGTGAAGCAGCTGTTGAAAAAATTTTACCAAATTGTTGTAACGAAATTAATACCATGTTGACAAGTGAAAGTTCTGAACCCTTACAATTTGATATTACTGATATGTCTAAAGAAGATCGTAAGAATTTTCATAAAAATATTAAAATGATTTATCAGTCAACAGTTATTGCCCAAACAATTAATAATGATGATAGGAGGTTTATAAAAATAGAAAAATACAACAAAAATAATGAATCCTGCCAAAGACTAAAGTGGCCACATAATATAGGAGATTATGTTCATTTTTTAGTTTATAAAGAATGTCTTGATACCATGGAAGCATGTCTCAGAATAAGTAGTGCTTTGAATGTGAAAGCATCAAGTTTAACGTATGCTGGAGTAAAGGACCGTCGTGCAAAAACAACCCAATGGTTCTCAATAAAAAGGTATCTACCAGAAAGAATTGTTAATAAAACTAAAGGAATACGTAATGTTAAAGTAGGAAATTTTGAATTTAAGGAGGAACCACTTAAATTAGGACAATTAAAAGGAAACCGTTTTTGTTTAGCTCTGCGTAATGTTACTGTTGATAATAGCATAATAGAGTCACAGATGAAGTCATTAAATGATAATGGCTTTATAAATTATTTCGGTTTACAAAGATTTGGTTGTGATAAGGAAGTACCTACTTTTGCTGTAGGTATAAAATTATTAAGAGGACAATGGAAAGAAGCATGTGAACTCATTCTGAAGGTAAAAAAGACAGATTTTCCACGTTCTGATACTACTAAAGCTAAACAAGCCTATGCGACCACTTCAAATGCACAATTAGCATTAACTGAATTTGCCAGAAACAGAAGAACTTCATTGGAATACAGGTTACTGGAAGGTCTGTCAAAAAACAATAAAAACGATTATGTAAACGCCCTATCCAATATTCCTCGAAACAGTAGACTACTCTATATTCATTCTTTTCAAAGCTTAATATGGAACAGAGTAGTTTCAATGCGAATTAAAAAGTTTGGATTGAAACCAGTAATTGGAGATCTGGTAGTTATTGGAAATATTGCTGAAAATGAAACAAATTTGTCCGATTCTGAATCAGAAGAAAAAAATGAAATAAAAGGCGATAGTAATATAAATAGTAGATCTAAAGTTAAAGCATTAACTGAAGGTGAATTAGATCAGTACTCTATATTTGATATAGTTTTACCTCTGCCTGGATATGATATTGTATATCCGGAAAATGAAATAAAAAATTATTACGAGGAACTTCTTAAAAGTTATAATTTATCTTTGGAAATGTCCAAACAAAATGTAAAAACCTATAATTTAAGTGGCACCTATAGGAAAATAATGGGTAAAGTACAGAATTTTTCATGGAAAGTTCTGCACTACAATGAGCCTGACGACGTCTTGATTCGATCTGATTATGAAGAATTATGCGGAGAAAAAGAACCTGAAGATCAACCCAATGGGAAGTTTAAAGCCTTAATTATGGACTTCTGTTTGGATCCCTGTAGCTATGCCACGATGGTTGTAAGAGAAGTTTTAAAAACAGATACAAATTCCGTAGCCCATGCAAAGCTCAACAACTACTTTGAAGCTGAAAATTGTAAAGAAGAAAATACGCAGTCAAAGGACTTTGAGAAAGAACACGATTTACTATCAAATAAAGAAAAGTTTGAAGAATTTAAAAAGTTCGTTTTTGCTGCTGACGACGATGGTGAACCACCCTCTAAAATAGCAAAAACTGATGATTAAAATTTTGTTTTATCTATAGATACATAAATTAACTAAGCTATTTATCGCAATAAACGACAATAGAAAATAAGCTATTTGTAATTTATTTTCATACATAAATCGTTTCTTTTTAAAAATATCAGCATAAACATCAAATGTTTGTTCTAAAACCTTTTAAAAAAATCAGGCACATACACAGAAAATATTAAACTTACTGACTTCCATTGTAAATACAGACATAACTTAATAATCATGCATAACTTTACCTATGGAAGATTTGCTGATTAATAAAATAGTTGTTTTTTGCAGTCGTTTACACATATTTTGCAGATTGTTTATGTAGTAAATTAGCAAACAAATTAATGTATTGAAAATATCGTTATGTACTGGAATTTTATTATAAATTACAAATTATTTCAAGTAAATTTCATCTAATTCGTAAAATATTTGAATGATATTTAAAATTAGTTATCTTAAAAATGACTGTTACTCAATTCAAATTAGGAAAAACAAATTTCAGACGTTATCCATATAATATAAGTTAGACCAAGTCCTTAATTTTTATAAATATACCCTTAAAAAAAATAAAACAATTCTATGCACCTGATTTTTATATTTGCATTTAAAAAGAATTATAAATCACAAATTTAAAAAGATTTGCATGCTGAAACATTCTTTTACTCTCCCATTTCTATTTATTAGTTGTAATGTTTATCACAGAAAGNTATTTTCAGTTTCAGAGAAATGAATTTATCAAGAAAAATATGTTAAATGAAATAAACTTATAAACTGTATTGTAAAGAAAACTAAATATTTGGTGTATGTATTTTATAGAGTTAGGTATATAATGAATCAGTCTAACTTGATTAAAGTATATATATGATACCATAGCTTGGGGGTGCATATCAAAATGTTCTGGAAGTCCTGAACACTGCCCAGAGAAGAATACTAAAATCATTAAATTTTTGCACTAAACTCCTCTTGCAATTCACTTAGATTAAGTTTATATAGTTTTAAAACAGTTCTACAACCACCTTTAAAGTCTCCTGGTAATGCTAATTAAATAAATAAATAAAATAAATTTAAATTGAGACTTGCAAGTGCATCCCGATAATTCCCAACTATAAAATTATTTTCACTAATACCTTACAAAAATTTTAATACATTAGGTTAGTTTCAGCTGATTTTTTAAGGCAGAAATTATTGAAATTTTTAAAAAAAAATAAAAACAGAGTCGAAATTGGGAGTTGAAAGTTCCAATTATAAAATTCGTTTCACTGATGCTTAAGCTTCAATGTAATATGGCACTTTCAACTTGTTTAAAAGGGAGAAATTAATTATAAATCTAAAGAAAAAGATAAAAAATTGAATCCTACCTTTCCATTATAGTGTGGAGATGATTTGACCATAACCAACAACCCAAAACACTGAGAGAAAACTCCGTTGGCGAATAGTTTGACGTACTATAACAATTACGGTTTTTAATTTTATCATTAAGAAGAATACTAACAAAATTATTTACATATTTACATATACGGTTCATCTTGATTTGATCATTAAATTTATTTTAAGTAATTTACTGATGAATAATAAATAACTGTTAAATGAAATCGTACCTTTCTTTATGAATTTAAAATGCAGTCCATAATATGCAGTGGCTTGTAAGGAATTTTCCTCCATATTTAGGCAAATTGTTTAGAATGCTGAAAAAAAGTAGTTACAGTTTAAAATAAGTAGAAAAAACCAATGTAATTCACGATAAATATACACACTCGTAAAAAGTTCTTCAAGAATTAGTACTTTTTTGATAGGAAGGTAGCCAACTTTCTACTTTGCATGGGACAAGGATGTACTACACCTTTATAGATTTTACATCAAGAAAAATAAAGAATGTTAATTTCCTCCCCTGGTCTGTATGCCATTTTTCACCATAATACATATGTTAGCAATCATATACATATTTTTATTTTTAAAATTGTTATTAAAAAATTAAAAAAAGGGTTTAACATACTTCCCGGTAACTTTCAACTACAAAATGCTTTTCACTGGTGTCTCACAATAACTTTAATGCATTTTAATACTTTCAGATAGTTTTTTCAAGGAGTTACAAACGCTTTTATATTTAGGATTTATGGCCCAAAACAACATTAATACCTTTTGGTACTTTCAACACTTTTAATAAGAGAGTAATTAATTTGTCAAAAAATAAAAACTTTTTTAAATTGGGGGTAATTTTCACTGATGTCCTACAAGTTAAATGCATTTTGAAACCTTTAGCTGGTTTAATAAATGAGAAATTAATTTATAAAAAAAAGGACTTTAAATTGGGGATTGAAAGTGCACTCTGGTACTTGGTGCAACTATAAAAGTCTTTTCACTAATGCCTCATAGGAACTTCAGATTTTGGTGCTTTCAGATCTTTATCGAGAAAATGACTTTAAATTCAAAGAAATGGAAAAAAATGAATCCTAATGTTCCAATGTAATGTTGATGATCTGGAAAGAACAATTCTGAAATAACAATATTGTAATAACTGCTTCCTTAGTCAACATACCAAAACTGTGAGAGAAAACTCCATAAAAGGATACTTTGAAGTATTAAAACAATAACGATTTTATATTGCAATTAATAAGAAAAAATGTTAAAATCATACCTTTGTTATATGTATTAAGTACACTCCAAAATACTCTTATGGCAACTGCTATATTAGGGACATAGACCACTTTGCTTCAAACAGACTGCGAACTGTTAATTTATTTCAGCATCCGTCTGAAGTCGGCATTCATTTCTAACATGTATGTAGTTATGCCTGGCACCTTAATATATAAATAAATGGTTTTGTCTTAATCAAAGTCTAACTACCTGACTTACCTTTATGATGGTGCATATCAACACCTTACCAACAAATCTGTTTCCAGTGAAAAAAAGGCACTTTCACATTTCCTTCAAATACTTAATATAAAGTTCCGCGGTGCTACAATATTGATACAAATAATTCAATTTAATAATAGAGCAGAACGTGATAATAACAAAAGGTAATTTTTTACATTAGTTGACATTGGAATTGAGACATGCAGTTTAGTCAGGTAGGTAGTACTCACCAAGTAGAATCGTGTGGTAGCATTAATTCCGTGCGGAAACCAATGTAGCTTGAGATACAGGCTCCTAAAGTTATTTAATCGGAGGAAATTTCGATTGGTACGGCCCTGGCTGCAGCCCTTCGTCAGCTGTTCTCGCCNATTTTTAAAAACAGCTTTAATGTTCCTTTTAAGAAATTAACTAGGAAAACATGTAACATTCCAATAGATCTCAAAGTTGATTATTATTGTTACAAAGTACTTCATAATTTACAAGAAAATTAGTCATTTAAATATGTACTGTACACTAAATACCAGTGCAAAACATTCCTTCGATACTCAACGCATTTTTGTTTGTACAAAGGCTATATATCTGTCTAAAGTAAATACACTAATAAACCATATCTCCTGCTAATATGATATATGATAATAAGTGCCAATCATATCAAGCATTTACACCAACAGCACAACAGCAATGACAAAATATTCAATTATAAGTTCCTATAACCGAAGATTTGGTTTGTTCACGGTATACGACGATTACCATTCCGTTATGCCGATGGTTCACGCTATCGCGAGTCTACTCTATACTTTTCACAACTTTTTCTTGCTTCTTTTTTTTTTTTTGTTAGTCTAAATCTTTACAGATATAGTTTCTTTTATAAGCTCTTACCTTGCTGGCATTTTTGGTAAAGAAAATGTAATCCTCTTTCACGAAAAAATGTTTAACTTCAGTGGCATACAAATGCCACCTTTTGTCCTTTGTTATGTCCATACAATAAAAAATACTGCTCCAACCCCCTGGTTCATTCCTTTGCAATACAAACATCAAATGTTTGTTCTAAAACCTTTTAAAAAAATCAGGCACATACACAGAAAATATTAAACTTACTGACTTCCATTGTAAATACAGACATAACTTAATAATCATGCATAACTTTACCTATGGAAGATTTGCTGATTAATAAAATAGTTGTTTTTTGCAGTCGTTTACACATATTTTGCAGATTGTTTATGTAGTAAATTAGCAAACAAATTAATGTATTGAAAATATCGTTATGTACTGGAATTTTATTATAAATTACAAAGGTACTTGGTGCAACTATAAAAGTCTTTTCACTAATGCCTCATAGGAACTTCAGATTTTGGTGCTTTCAGATCTTTATCGAGAAAATGACTTTAAATTCAAAGAAATGGAAAAAAATGAATCCTAATGTTCCAATGTAATGTTGATGATCTGGAAAGAACAATTCTGAAATAACAATATTGTAATAACTGCTTCCTTAGTCAACATACCAAAACTGTGAGAGAAAACTCCATAAAAGGATACTTTGAAGTATTAAAACAATAACGATTTTATATTGCAATTAATAAGAAAAAATGTTAAAATCATACCTTTGTTATATGTATTAAGTACACTCCAAAATACTCTTATGGCAACTGCTATATTAGGGACATAGACCACTTTGCTTCAAACAGACTGCGAACTGTTAATTTATTTCAGCATCCGTCTGAAGTCGGCATTCATTTCTAACATGTATGTAGTTATGCCTGGCACCTTAATATATAAATAAATGGTTTTGTCTTAATCAAAGTCTAACTACCTGACTTACCTTTATGATGGTGCATATCAACACCTTACCAACAAATCTGTTTCCAGTGAAAAAAAGGCACTTTCACATTTCCTTCAAATACTTAATATAAAGTTCCGCGGTGCTACAATATTGATACAAATAATTCAATTTAATAATAGAGCAGAACGTGATAATAACAAAAGGTAATTTTTTACATTAGTTGACATTGGAATTGAGACATGAAGTNAAAATAATTACGAGGAACAAATTAACCATGAATTAAACAGCCATCATAATTCAAAACAAACATGGAGTCATACGAGTCATAGCATGTCATAGATGAAGACCATAGATAATAGATGAAGGCGTAACGCACATAAATATTTGTGAAAGGAAAACCACAAATACACCGCTATTATTACAGAAATGACAAAGGCTGTATTTCGTTTAATTTCATCATGGAATGGACTATGGTTGCAACGTGCACGTGCAATAAATTGTTAAACACAGTCGGATTGTTCATGCAATGAATTTATAAACGCGGTCGTACCATGCTGGCGACACTATTTCTTATATATAACCCGTAGACCACCCATAGACGTAACGTATGAATATAACATAACCTAACATAACCTTACTTAATTTCTAAAAAATAAAGTATTTTAAGGTATCAATTTTTAGAAATAAGTGTTAGTTTTTCCGAGTTATAACGTGTAAAAATGTCGCACAATAACCAGAGAAATCGCGTTGGTGCTGACATTGCAAAAAGAAGTTGTAGTAAAGAAGCTTTCATCCAACATGAAAAGTTAACAGAGAGTGAAGTGGGAATTACTGAATATGTTAGCACCATGGAAGGGTTTTCTGCTATACTGAAGGCAAGATACTCTGATTTTCATGTAAATGAAATAAATTTACAAGGTCAAGTTGCAAAATTAACAAGTTTAGAACCTCCTCATTTTCAAGAAGTAGTTGTCAATAAAGAAGAATGTGAAGCAGCTGTTGAAAAAATTTTACCAAATTGTTGTAACGAAATTAATACCATGTTGACAAGTGAAAGTTCTGAACCCTTACAATTTGATATTACTGATATGTCTAAAGAAGATCGTAAGAATTTTCATAAAAATATTAAAATGATTTATCAGTCAACAGTTATTGCCCAAACAATTAATAATGATGATAGGAGGTTTATAAAAATAGAAAAATACAACAAAAATAATGAATCCTGCCAAAGACTAAAGTGGCCACATAATATAGGAGATTATGTTCATTTTTTAGTTTATAAAGAATGTCTTGATACCATGGAAGCATGTCTCAGAATAAGTAGTGCTTTGAATGTGAAAGCATCAAGTTTAACGTATGCTGGAGTAAAGGACCGTCGTGCAAAAACAACCCAATGGTTCTCAATAAAAAGGTATCTACCAGAAAGAATTGTTAATAAAACTAAAGGAATACGTAATGTTAAAGTAGGAAATTTTGAATTTAAGGAGGAACCACTTAAATTAGGACAATTAAAAGGAAACCGTTTTTGTTTAGCTCTGCGTAATGTTACTGTTGATAATAGCATAATAGAGTCACAGATGAAGTCATTAAATGATAATGGCTTTATAAATTATTTCGGTTTACAAAGATTTGGTTGTGATAAGGAAGTACCTACTTTTGCTGTAGGTATAAAATTATTAAGAGGACAATGGAAAGAAGCATGTGAACTCATTCTGAAGGTAAAAAAGACAGATTTTCCACGTTCTGATACTACTAAAGCTAAACAAGCCTATGCGACAACTTCAAATGCACAATTAGCATTAACTGAATTTGCCAGAAACAGAAGAACTTCATTGGAATACAGGTTACTGGAAGGTCTGTCAAAAAACAATAAAAACGATTATGTAAACGCCCTATCCAATATTCCTCGAAACAGTAGACTACTCTATATTCATTCTTTTCAAAGCTTAATATGGAACAGAGTAGTTTCAATGCGAATTAAAAAGTTTGGATTGAAACCAGTAATTGGAGATCTGGTAGTTATTGGAAATATTGCTGAAAATGAAACAAATTTGTCCGATTCTGAATCAGAAGAAAAAAATGAAATAAAAGGCGATAGTAATATAAATAGTAGATCTAAAGTTAAAGCATTAACTGAAGGTGAATTAGATCAGTACTCTATATTTGATATAGTTTTACCTCTGCCTGGATATGATATTGTATATCCGGAAAATGAAATAAAAAATTATTACGAGGAACTTCTTAAAAGTTATAATTTATCTTTGGAAATGTCCAAACAAAATGTAAAAACCTATAATTTAAGTGGCACCTATAGGAAAATAATGGGTAAAGTACAGAATTTTTCATGGAAAGTTCTGCACTACAATGAGCCTGACGACGTCTTGATTCGATCTGATTATGAAGAATTATGCGGAGAAAAAGAACCTGAAGATCAACCCAATGGGAAGTTTAAAGCCTTAATTATGGACTTCTGTTTGGATCCCTGTAGCTATGCCACGATGGTTGTAAGAGAAGTTTTAAAAACAGATACAAATTCCGTAGCCCATGCAAAGCTCAACAACTACTTTGAAGCTGAAAATTGTAAAGAAGAAAATACGCAGTCAAAGGACTTTGAGAAAGAACACGATTTACTATCAAATAAAGAAAAGTTTGAAGAATTTAAAAAGTTCGTTTTTGCTGCTGACGACGATGGTGAACCACCCTCTAAAATAGCAAAAACTGATGATTAAAATTTTGTTTTATCTATAGATACATAAATTAACTAAGCTATTTATCGCAATAAACGACAATAGAAAATAAGCTATTTGTAATTTATTTTCATACATAAATCGTTTCTTTTTAAAAATATCAGCATAAACATCAAATGTTTGTTCTAAAACCTTTTAAAAAAATCAGGCACATACACAGAAAATATTAAACTTACTGACTTCCATTGTAAATACAGACATAACTTAATAATCATGCATAACTTTACCTATGGAAGATTTGCTGATTAATAAAATAGTTGTTTTTTGCAGTCGTTTACACATATTTTGCAGATTGTTTATGTAGTAAATTAGCAAACAAATTAATGTATTGAAAATATCGTTATGTACTGGAATTTTATTATAAATTACAAATTATTTCAAGTAAATTTCATCTAATTCGTAAAATATTTGAATGATATTTAAAATTAGTTATCTTAAAAATGACTGTTACTCAATTCAAATTAGGAAAAACAAATTTCAGACGTTATCCATATAATATAAGTTAGACCAAGTCCTTAATTTTTATAAATATACCCTTAAAAAAAATAAAACAATTCTATGCACCTGATTTTTATATTTGCATTTAAAAAGAATTATAAATCACAAATTTAAAAAGATTTGCATGCTGAAACATTCTTTTACTCTCCCATTTCTATTTATTAGTTGTAATGTTTATCACAGAAAGTGACTAAAAATATTAATAATACTAAACATAACTACCCACACTGACATTGAATTGTCTTTGTAAGATAATATGTATTCAGTTAACAAAAATAAGTCAATAATAATAATAATTATATTTATCATTAACTTCAAAACGCAACAAATAAAAATATGATAATAAAACACTCGATAACACAGAAGATTTATCTAACTAAAAAAAAAAAAAAAAATATGGAACATATCTGAAAGTAATCTCTGTACAACTAGCTCACCACTTAACAAAACATTACTATTTTGTTTTTATCCTAAAAACAAAGCAGCAATTACAAACATATGTAGGCAAAGCTGCTTCTTATTAAATTTTTTTTAAAATTTCGTATCTACAAAGTTAAAAGCGATGTTTACCGTAACATATACTTCATTATTAATTTCGTTTGATTGGTAAGGTTAACGTTAAATGTCTAATAGAAGCTAGTACATTTTAAACAGTCAATTACTTCAAAATAATTTCTACAACACACTAACTGATTAACAAATACAGTAATGACAAAAATGTAGTAAATTTTATATAAATTTGACTACTTATTGAGCAATGAAAATTGAATGTTTATTTTACATAAAAAAATCTTTGAAAGTAATTAGTTAATGTAATACTGCATTTTTAAATCAGTCAACATTACAACATATATCTGTTATAGAACATTTTTATTTTATTACGATAAATCAGTATTCTCATTTTATAAAACGTTTTTATTAATTTCACCCTGTTTTGTTTCAGATGGTTCGCTAGTATTTTATCAAATTGGAGTGGTAACTTCACATTCTAAACCAAAAATCCTAAGAGTGTAACACACGTTTACGCGATAACTAAGGGTTCGTCGTCAGAGAAGCCCCTAATCTGAGGACTCTCTTCTTCCTCATCCAACCCATGATCATCAAACGTTGCTGCACCCGATCTGGAATCATAGTGCGAATTTGCGAAGCGCGTAAAACTATTCTGCAACTTCCGATGTCGCACAAACAAGAATCCTAAAGCTGCGGCAAGAACAATTAACAAAAGACAAGAAGGAACTACTATAGCGGTGAGACTCGTCTTATCAATAACTTTGGACCAACTGGAATAATTCTTATTATACGAACTGGCTCTTTCCGAAAGGATCGATTTGTATCCTTCCTTCGTCTTCATTCGAACAGCAAAAGTGTATGTATCAAATGTCGCATTATCGAAAATAAAAGGAGGTTCCTTGACAGAGAACCGTTTGGCTGTAGTCTCATTCAACGTATTCCCTTCAGAAATTAAAACTTCGTACATGTAAGAACCAACACTGGGAGAAATGTCGTGTTCCTGCCAGTAGACCAGGTAGCTACCATTTAATTGAGGGAACACCTTCAATTCGTGAGGAGGAAGAAGCAAAGGTCCATTGTAAGTAACCGTGGAACTATACTTTGCACCCTTTACGTTAGTCGCAACTTTTAACTCATAAACTCCACCGTAAGTTATCTTAAATGTATGTCTATGCCTTATTTCTGTACTGTTCGCCTTTGTAACCGAAATAGTTCTGTTCGTAGATTTTTCATATACTGTTACCTGAAAAATTTTTTCTTTAAATAAATAAATAAACTCACATTACCGCAATTCAATAATGTTTCAAATAATTCATAATTCAGTAAACGCTAATTAAAAATTACATACTTTTGATTTCGTTATGTAAAAGAATAAAATACAAGATGGCGACAGTATCGCGTTGATAATAATATTCGCATTGGAAGTAGGTATCTGCAGTGAAAAGTTTGAGTTGTAATTATGGTGACTTGTATAAAAAGTAACAGAAATTATTTTTCACTCGACGATTTTTTTTTATTATCAAGAGTGCAATAAATACTACACAGTCATAATTATCAGTAGATGAATCACTAATTGTAAGCTTTCCGAAGACCTCCGTCAACCTGGACTACTTATATATGTATATAGACTGAGAACCCTACAGTTGCCTACCCTTAAGCAGAAAAGGAAACAAAATGACCTCATCGAAATCTACAACATGCTAGACAACATAGATCCATCTGTTATCCTAAACTATAGGATAGGAAAGAGATAATGCGCATTTCCTGACCAATAGGGTCGTGAACAAATGGCACAACATACCCGCTGGCATTTGAATCTGTTCAAAGCCGCAATTGATTGCTAATAATTAAATAAAGCTAAAATTACTTACAATATATCCAATAGGCTCTATGAGGCTGTAGCAGGGAGCTTCCCATTCAACTACCATTTGAAGTGGGTCGTTTGAATGGGGGTACACCTTCAACTTCTTGGGTGGAGACTGTTTATTAACCTGTGTGGTTACATGAGGACTCCGACTTGACAATCGACCAATACCCAAAGGACCCACAACACCGATCATAAACATGAAATTCTCGCAAGCTTCTAGATCTGATACAGTCACTGTCAAATTAGTTGTATTTATATGAGACCCTGGAATATAGATATTTTCATTAATACTGCCATTTATTATCTTAAACGCCAACAATAAGTTACATTACCTTCCAAAACCTCTGTCAATGTCGTGCCATAATATACTCCATAAACCCATTTAACTTTACGACTATCCTTGGGCCTGTCCCAGCTTAATTTAACAGAAGTTCCCATTTCCTTAATAACTTGTGCTTCGACATTGGGTACTTCGGGCAGTGGAATACCAGTAAGGTTAACCATTATTCCTACTTCTTCCCCGTAAAAACTTTTCTTGTAAGCACTTACCTGCAAATAAAAAAAAATTATACATACTTCTTATCTTTGATTACCACTAAAGTAGAAAATCTACAAGCAGTACCCTGAATATGTAGTCAACTTCTGGAGATAGTTGTTCAAAATATGTCCAATTTGTCTTAACGAAACGCTCCGGAAATTTAGGAAACATGGGTGAAAGGGTTTCCAGGCGAATCCTATAACCATCTACTTTATCTATTGCATTCCAAGACAACCTCAAAGTACTATTTGTCATGTTGCTAACAATCAATCCAGAAACTTTCCCCACCAAAGAATCCCCATCAAAAGTAATGACTTTCACTTCGGATTTCTCACTTTGATATTTTGAATTGTGGGCGATTAAATAAAATGAATAAGTTTGATTTGAGGAAAATAATTTGGACAGAGAGTAACTGGTTTTGTTAGAACTCGTTTTAATATTAAGAGGTGAGTCCGGAGGAGACACGTAGATTTCGTAATATTGAATAATGCCTCTAGGAGTGGATGGAGCATTCCAGAGTAGTAAAACATCAGTACTGTTTACTTGCCGTACTGTTAAGTTCCATGGTGGACTTGGAGCATCTAAAAGTAGAGTAAATAAATTAAATTGTCTTTTAATATATCAAATTATTAATCACCTTCGTCAGTTGTTGCCACATAGAATTTTGCTGGTGGAAATACCTCTGCAGTATCATTTTGATGTTTCCTATACCTGGTGTACACTGTCATGTTGTAGGCAGTAAAAGGTTTCAGTCCGGTAAAACGATATATCATAAAAGTAATCCATGTTTTATTTTCCCATTTGTCCTTTCCTACTTCACTGATTGATGGTAAAAAGTCCATAATTCCTCCCTCAGGATTTCTTATCCACCATTGCAATAAAATACTAGTTGATGATATTCCTTGCTGAAGTGCCGTCATTTTTAATACTTGGTGAACTTTCTTTATGTTTTTACAATTCAATTCGTCAAATCCGTCGCGACAGTCTTCAAAGCCATCACAACGGGCTGCGAGGGGAATACAGTTATTTACATCGCAAGGGAAGAAACCCAAAGAGCAACTAGGAGTTGCAGGTTCGTTAGGATAATTATGTTCGGCGCAATGAGTTTCATCTGACCCATCAGGACAATCTGAACGACTATCACAAACCTTTGTTATCTAAAATTCAAATTTTTTTGTTTAATACATACATTACACAATAGTTTTCTAGCAACCACAACTTTTAAATGAAAATTTTTCAAGACAGAAAAATATCCCACAATTCAAAGTACATTAATTGTCAAATGTTACGTGTTAAATATTTACAAATCTTGATATCCATAGACACAACAATAATTGTTTGGCGATTGCAATTTCATAACCGTTCTTAAAAGCTTGAATCGATTAAAAATTTCAAATCTCACTCACATCAATACAACTTCCATCCATTCGACATTTAAATTCATCTGCATCACTACAGTGCCTAGCCCCTTCACAGTGCATTTCATCTTCACCACCCTTGCAGTCCCTCGAGCCGTCGCAAATCCAAGAAAGTGATATACATTCGCCTGTTGCACATTGGAAATAATCTTGAGGACAAACATGAGGCTTCATTGTGGTAGCCAGATCTGTAGTTGGAATTACAGAAGATGGATAAAAGCATCCTTCTTCGTCACTATTATCGCCACAGTCGTCAGCCATGTCACATTTCCACCAAGAGGGAATACAGTTTTTATTTTTACACAAGAACATCCAATCAAGGCAAACGGAATTCTGCAATGTTTTTTTTTTTAGAAATTAAGAATTAAAAAGAAAAAACTTTAACTAAACAAGTACTTGTGTACTTACATTAGCAGTTGGAAATGGATTAACAGGTGACACGGAAGTGGGTGCTGTTGTAGTGCAATTACTTTCATCTGCTCCATTGGGACAATCACTATCTCCATCACACACCCATGCCATATACAAACAATGATTGGATGGATTTCCGCAAGAGAATAGAGAAGGGGGGCAAGTACTGTTTCCACAATCCAATTCATCACTCCCATCTTTACAGTCACTTTCTCCATCACACCGCCAAATGGATGGTACACAATTTATTCCACCGGTTTTACATTGAAACTCGCTTGCTAATTTACAAACAAATAAAAATACAAATTATGTGGATATGACTTTTGTTTTTAACATACTTTTACAAGTGACTGGGTCTGCAACATTGCAATCTCTTTCATCAGATCCATCTCGACAATCGTTTTCACCATCACACCTCCATTTCATAGAAATACACCTCCCATTTCCACACTTGAATTGTGAGCTAGTGCAATTTTGTACTGGACAATTGAGTTCATCTGAGCCATCGACACAATCTCGCTCGTAATCACATCTAAAAGAAATTCATTACCGTGATCAAATTAAAAAAAGAAAAACGCAAATTAATAAAATTAACAATTTCACTTGCCTCCAATAATGTGGTAAGCACCGTCCATCTCCACAAACAAATTGATTACCGCCACATGTCTGTACCTTACAATTGATTTCATCTGAATTATCCCCACAATCGTCTTCTCCATCGCAAGTCCAACCCTTAGGTACACAAAGATTGTTTTTGCAAGCGATATAACCTGGGCCGCAAGTGTTTGATACGCTGGAACAAGTCATGTTTGCATAGGGCGGCACTCCTCCGGGACACATACATTTACCTCCTTTAACTTCCATACCTGTAATAATGAAAAAACCAAACCGATCAGGTAAACTTATAATAATAAGAAATTAAATGAAGGAGGATAAATACATCTAGACATGATTAAGTAAAGAAAAAATGTTAACTATTAATTGTTCTATTGCACTATTGTTCAATTATATATTTTAATTAAAGAAACTTCATCCCATAATTGCTTGTCTTATTTATCGTTTACTACTAATCTCAAGCAATATCATTTGTATGTATTTATAAGTGAATACAAAATAAAAAAGAACATGATCTGAAATCGTGAAAAAATTGTTAATTGAATTAACTTTTTACATGTAACCTCTGCTACCATCAAATTTTATAACAGAATTAACTCACCATCAGGGCAAAGACAAACGTGACTCTGTTTTGGAGCTCCAACACACAGATATTTGCACGAAGAATTTTGACAATCATTGGTACTATGTTGAAGACTATGTCCGTAAACCTTGAGGTCCATCGGTCCGGAATATTCTTTGACTAACTGCTTAATTGCAACTCCGTGATCTTTATCTGCACTGAAAATCATATTTTGTTTCCAATCGTCCCAATACATTTGATCTTTGAACACAGCAATGGCAAATGGATGGATAACGAGGTCGTTGTTTGAAATGATGTGCTTGATACGTTGCCCGTGCAAATCAGAGCTTCCTATGTAATCCAATTTAGCGTCTACCCAGTATATACGTTCCGCAATATAATCTACAGTTACACCTAAAATAAAACAATCAGAGTTAGAAAACATCATGAAACGAGTGACTACAATACCTTAAAAAAAATTATAAAAAATAAAACGTACCATTAGGCCATTCAACTTGGGGATGCTCAATCAACCTCTTGATATTGGTTCCATCCAAATTTGCTCTACTAACAGAGGGACTTTCAGTAGCCCAATCAGTCCAAAACATATAGCCAGCTGCAGGATGTACGGCAATGCCCCGGGGCTTTTTCAAATCATTGGGGCCAATTATAGTTCTTCTCATTCTACCAAAATGATTAATATCTGTCCTGATCAATTCTATTTTGTTCCTTGTTCCATCAACGAAATAAAGATGATGCGAAATCCAATCATAAGCCATTCCTTCTACAGATGCAAGATCGTTTGAGACCAAAATTTCTGGTTCAGATCCATTACTTAAACAAAGTCTACCAATCTGGTCCGTGACAATGTCTGCCCAAAAGACACAATTATTCTTCATATCGAATTCCACAGATATGACGTTCTTTAAGTTTTTAATTGGAAGTTCCTCGAGCTTTTCAGTTGTTAAATCAAACCAGAAAATCTTATCTCTGCGTGCAAACAGCAGAAATTCAGGAACTTCTTTGAAGGGGCAAGGAATTTGTTCGGGCAAATATCGATCCTGGAACCCATCCACGCAAGCATCTCCTGCTATTTTTCGGTAACCTTTCGAGCGTACGTAAAAAAGACCCGGTTTACACCATTTTGGAATTTCAAACGGGTTTTCGCTAGACGTTTTGTTACGAATACAATGGTAGGGTTTTCCCACTCGAACGAATCCAAAGTCACTAAAAAGTTTTTTCAATTACGATGCATTCATAAAATTTAAATTTAAGTAACAAAAGAAATGTTTCCGATTTCATCATCAAATGTATTTTGTTTTTGTTTATTTTTTATTTTCTGGAATACTCTATTTATATAAAGCATGAGTAATAACAGTAAGTTGTTGGACTTCCACTGTGTATTTTTCGGTTATAAACGGTAAAATCCCGCTAATTCCTTACCATTCAAAATCGAGGGCGTCACAATCACATGGTTCCCAAGATACAGGAAGATCCAAATCCAACCCGTTGTAGCAATTAGCATGTGATATTCTTCGTCTATACGTTATTTGTTTACCCATTATGCAAGGTACATAACGACGACTCTCCTCAGTTTGGCTTGGGGACCATAACTTGTAATCATCCTATATTTATTTAAAACAATTACAAATTAAGCATTTGAAAGATATTTTTTGTACTAACCGCAGAACAGTTGTACTGAAAAACAGGTTTCAAATCAATCTTTATAATGATCCACTGGTGCGTTTCGGGCTTGGACGCGAAAAGGGTAAAAACTGTAGAATTTTCGCCGGGTTCAGTCATGAGACCATACAATCTTAAATTATGTTCAGAAAACGGCGCTTCGCTCCAATTTTCACCTTCGTCGGTAGAATAAAGGACGACTCGGGTTTCTCCCCAATTTTTGTAATATTTAACAGCAGTTAAGACACCACCGTGATCTCCCATGTTAAAGAAGTACAATTCTTTTAAGACCTGGCGCCACGTAAATCCTGCATCCGAACTTACAAATACTCCAAAATGGCCCTAAATAAAAATATCGTCAAATATTTTTAAATAAAACAACATGTTTCTAGTTATTTTTATCAAAACTATAAAACGTGGGTTGCAATTTTGAACTTTTGTTTTTTTAAACTTTCACAAACTCGTGAACTCATATTTAATAGCAAATTTTCACAGATGGAATTTACTGTTTGTCTATAATTATTTAAATATTTCTCATGTTTAACTGTGAAAAAATCAAGTCCTTCGCTGTAACTCACCTTAAGACTCTTTCCAATAACCCCAGTGGCTACTATCAATCCTGGAGCAGATTTGCTTGACAAAATGCTGATGGATCTAGTTTCAGGATGAAGGCGACTAAATGTCTGACTTAGATGAAGGGAACAATTGTTATTGGATGAACAAGAAATTAATTGACCTTCTTCATCCCTAGCAGGAGGAGAGAGTAAATGCCAGGAGCCACCATGATCGTAAGTAATAACAGAACCCAGATGCTGAGGACCTAAATTGTGACCTAACGGTTTGGAAATAATTTGGGATGCTATATAAATGCCATTAACACCCTCCACCTTGTATATATCCGCAAACGGTTCTTCAACAATTCGACTAAAATTATTAAACAGTATTAACCATTGGTTCTCATCTATTATAAATTTACTCACTGTAGCCAAGAATCTTGCCACGTATCGTTCGGAAAATAACACAAAATTTCTTCCAATGACAACGTGAAACGAACCTTTCCATCTTTACCAGTTAGTTCTTCAGATACATATAAATGAGATAAAGTGTTTGTATGACTTACTGCCACAAGTGTTCGATTATTAGATACGTCTGCTATATAATAATTTTTACGATCCAATTCAGAATCAAAAACGCACTTTTTCTTCTCCCCAAATTTATACGAAACATATAGATCAAGATTATTCTAAAACAATTACTTATTTTTAAAAACAGCTTTAATGTTCCTTTTAAGAAATTAACTAGGAAAACATGTAACATTCCAATAGATCTCAAAGTTGATTATTATTGTTACAAAGTACTTCATAATTTACAAGAAAATTAGTCATTTAAATATGTACTGTACACTAAATACCAGTGCAAAACATTCCTTCGATACTCAACGCATTTTTGTTTGTACAAAGGCTATATATCTGTCTAAAGTGAATACACTAATAAACCATATCTCCTGCTAATATGATATATGATAATAAGTGCCAATCATATCAAGCATTTACACCAACAGCACAACAGCAATGACAAAATATTCAATTATAAGTTCCTATAACCGAAGATTTGGTTTGTTCACGGTATACGACGATTACCATTCCGTTATGCCGATGGTTCACGCTATCGCGAGTCTACTCTATACTTTTCACAACTTTTTCTTGCTTCTTTTTTTTTTTTTGTTAGTCTAAATCTTTACAGATATAGTTTCTTTTATAAGCTCTTACCTTGCTGGCATTTTTGGTAAAGAAAATGTAATCCTCTTTCACGAAAAAATGTTTAACTTCAGTGGCATACAAATGCCACCTTTTGTCCTTTGTTATGTCCATACAATAAAAAATACTGCTCCAACCCCCTGGTTCATTCCTTTGCAATACTAATCTAAGTTTAGTGCTATCTTCAGAAATCCAGTGAAAAGATTCCACAAACTCATCTACTATCTGCCAACTATCTCCGAAATCTTCAGTAAGGTAAAGCTAGAAAATGTTGTTTGGAAAACATTAAATCCGCTTACTAAAAAATGTTTACATTACAATTAGGTCAGTAGTTTTTAAGTTTTAACATTGAAAATTTCCAAAAAATGGTTTTAAGGCATTCTGAAACAGGCCAAGTTCCTAGGTAATAGGTACTGTAGTGTCGTTTGCAGCAGACGTTTCGTCATAATGTTCGTTCGGCTTCTCACTACGAAACAAAACGCACTGAATATGCGTCTGCTCAGCACGGCGAAACGTTTCCACATAAGCAAAGACATGATAACACTATCTAGAAACTCAACCTGTTTCATTTAATATGAAATATGAAAAGTTTCGAGAAAAAAAATCTTTCTAACACGTCCTTTATTTCCTCAATTACATACTATTTCTGTAAATATTTTCAATGTTTTAATATGCATAGATTATGCCTAGGCGAATAGAATTTTTTTTATTGGACAATGAACGACGTTAATGATAAAAGAACTACGCACATAAGTACATATGTATTATATTTTTCTGCATCAAAATAATAACTGAGTCAGACTTTGATGTTTGCTTTTCAAATATTTCACAGTTCATTAGCTTTTCTTTTTGGTACGAAGCCATTATTGATTATTACTAAATACATTTGTAAAGTGAATTTAAAAACAAAAACATTATGACGACAGACTTTTTATTAAGGTCGTAGACTCATTACTGCAAAAACTATAGAAATTTAAACTATGACCATACAAAAACAATCTTACAACCTTTTTCAGTTTTTAGATAATAAGCAATGATTTTTTTAATACTTACAGGCCGTTTAGAATCAACTTTGTCCAAAATCAGGAAAATTTGGGGCTGAAATTCGTGAAAAGATACTTCACTGGGCGTAAATTTCAACTGCACTTTTTTAATATCTCTTCCATGATTCTTGGTCGTAAATAAGACTTTATTTTTCAAGTCCGTAAAGACAAACTATAAAGAAATAATTTTTTAAACAGGAGTCTTACTCGATAGATTTCAGAGAAACTGCAAACTTACATGAGTGTTGTACTTTTCATGGTTGTAGAACTTCTCCACGACAGAATACGTTTTATTCGAAATTTTGAATAATTCAGTTTTATTTTCGTAGGTATTACCGTAATCATAAGATATATAAACGCTGGAGGAGTTCATAACATCAGTTTCATACGATGTAGGAGGATCGCGAGCCAAACAAATAATTACGTCGCTACCCTTACCTATCCATTGCACCATCAAATGCTTATGGCTATCATTTAGGTGATTGATCTGAAAAAAATCATTAAATGCAATGCTCATTTTTGCACATATTTAAAGTAAAAAAGTTAAAAAGATCTGACAGAAGCAACGAGGTTGCGTTAATTTCCGACTACTTTTTTTATTATCCTCTAATTTTGCACCTTTGCAGGTGAAATATTTTCTTCAAATTTAAATGCGACCTATATAACTTATATATTAAAAAAGAATCATTAAAATCAATTTACAATTGGCGAAGAAATCGCGTAACATTCACACAAAAAAAAATATATTCCAACCGAGTCCCCTTTTTTTTCTTAAAGTCGGTGGAAAGTTGAAAGTAACTTTCCATTCTTACGATAAAATAAATAGTGTTTATACATATTTTAAACATTTTTTTAATGCCACTTGCTTAATGGCTAAACTCATAAAAGCACCCTTTTAAAATAGTTATTGCATATACACAAACTCTAGAAAACAGATAACAAAACACGTGAGAATGATTCACAATAAGTAATGATAATAGCAAAACAATAAACAATTTTATACTTGTATAAATTCACTGTATCCTAGTAAATAGCGATAAAGATAAACAATAACAATCAAAGATAAAATTATAATAACCAGTACACATTCAGGAATAACTAATAAATAAACTGGTTAAATAATCTAAATTCTAAAAGAATGTCGGTTTTTGGACCAAATTAATTGCAAATTATTTTTTATTACAAGTATGTATATTAAGTTAATAC